AAATAATAATAGTAATAAGTTGGAGGGATTTTTAGAGAAAATATGTGACTTTTTGGACCTGCGTGTGGAGGGATTTTTAGAAAAAATATGGGAGTTTTTGGACCTGTGCGTGGGATTTTTTCCTGTAGTAGGTTGGCAACAGTGCCTTGTTGGAGCATACGTAATCCTAAAATGTAGCATCCTGCTACAGATGTCGTTTACTGCGCCATTTGTAGTATTTTCTAAAACGCATTTTTCCGTATTCGCTTTACGATGAAATCCGAGCCCGTAAAAAAATCTAGTAAAAAATAAAATGGGGGAAACTAACTTCACTCTTTGTAATAATAAGGAATGATTTTAAAAAATCCTTTAAAAGTGTTCCTGTTAATAGAAAATGTCTACCAAAATTAACTTTTCTGTTTTTCAAAAGAGAATGCAATGTCTATAGTTGAGAGGATCCTCAATAAATTATCTGTAAGAATGGACGTATCTAATTTTTTGTTTCCTCTTGGAATTGTAATCATTTGCTGCGTTTTGAACACGCCCTTGTTAAGATAGATCAAGCGTAGTAAAGACAAAGTGAAAAGAGATAACCGAATAACAGTAAGCGGTGCAGCAGTTATAGGTTGCTTAGGTACGCAAAAGATAAGGATCGACTTTATAACTGCCTGGTTGGAATTATATTATTATACCAGCGTCTTTGCTTTCCTAAATTCCTGAGAAATTCATTAGCAAATTGAAAAGTTGGGGATAGTATTTAGTATCCCTATGTAAATGTAGAGGACAATCGATGGCGTCCAAATCAAGTTTGCGACTCAGCCTCGTCCAACCTCTGACAGAGACGCTCAAATAACTATAGCATACTCCATTTTCATTGAATGCAAACAACTTTAACATTTATTTTAAGGAATTTTCATTTTTTGGCTTTTATTTTTTATCGCCTTCTTGAACGATGAAATAAATTTTTTTTATAACTTAATCCATGTTAAGAATCATCACCTTAATAAATTTTCTTTAAACATTTTTCTGTAGTTTTCAAATTATTCGGTAAAAACCGACAAAAATAGATTTTTTGCAATAAAAAAATATGACGTGTACCTCGCTCCATATTAAGACTAGGATATAGTTCCTCCCTATAATTTTATCTTAGGAGATCAATTTCGTCTCGTTACAATCGACCATCATTTCTGACACCTGATACGTTTTACACTCAAAAATTGAGGAGTTCTTGAAAAGAAACCAAAACTGCACTCTCTTCTGATTCTACATCCAAAATCTTATCTAAAAATTCATTCTGACCGTTCTGTATATGTACGCGTGTGTGTGTGTGCGTTCAATGAATTGTTTTTAATGAAATAATTCAACTGTATTGTCGACGCCTACTGCGTGGCGCACCCTATCACCCCCGTCGTATATTTCCTATATAAACCTGTGGAGCGTCAGTTACACAGACTCGCAAAAGTGCTAAAACAAAAAGCCGTAACAAAACTAATTTCAAAGTAAGTCGAAAGTTCTCACGATGTACAACAATGGTCAGCAACAGATACGTTCGGCGGAAATGTCCACAAAAGTTATACAAATATCCTGTTTCATTCTTCTGTTCATCTATTTTGCCGAAAGCGCAGCCGGTAAGTTTCAACTAAATCAGCATTTTTAAACTTTCTGTTGTGTGTGGAACCCATTTTGATGTCAAACTTCTAGTTTTAATGCAACATTATTTAAATGAAATATTTGTAAAAAAAAAAAGATTATCATTTCTAGTGGCATTCAAGTATTTGTTTCAAACAATATTTCTAATGACATACTTTGAATTTTTATAGCGTTACTTCAGTGTATTATTAAATTCATTTTTGAATTAATTTTACCTACTACAGATAACCTCAAATTAATGAAGAAAAGTCAGGGATTTTACGCAAAAGCACCAGGGGCCCGGGTTCAATTCCCGGCAAGGGCGCAACAGCAACAACAATTTTTCCTTATTAATTTGAGGTTATCTGTAGTGGGCAAAATTAATTCACTAATACACTTTCAGGCAATAATTTAAAAATAATTTAAACAACTTAAAAATAAAGTGTTTAAATGGAACTTAACTTTAAATTGTAATGAAAACAGTGATAGATACGGACCTATTGCTTTTCACTAGTTTTCCAAATCGGAGCCGTTAATTTTTGCTGTTTTATCATGAATATTATGAAGAAAATGTTTACTTTTTCGGAAGAAACCACCATGTCAATGTACGTTGGCCATGAAAGCCTAAAGACTACAATTTAATAACTATAATAAGTTGAAATAAAACTAAAAATTTTATTATATTGATAGAAAAATTGTGTCCTTTATAAAAACTTTTTAAATTTTCTTTTATATCTTTTTAATCTGTTATGAATATACAAAATTAAAAATTATTTATCGGATGTCTGTAGCTGTGTTATTCTAATTTTTTGAGTTTAGTCTTTAGTTCCTTACTCGGCAGTATGGAATCATATTTATTAAAGTGCAGTGAACAAACTCTCATCCTCGGAGTCGTTGTTTAATTTAAAAACACTGTAAAATGTTCTTAATTTATAATTTTTTAAAATTTCGAAATACATATATTTTTGATGTGCATAAGACAGGTTCCAGACTTTGGAAAAGATCTAAGTTTTTATTAGATTTACTAGCACAATCCCTAACACAGATAAATCTGCTTGTAGAACCGATCCAAGGAGGAAAATTGACAATTTCTATTGTAATTCCATAGTAATCATTTGTTTTTATTTAATTTTATACAAATTAATCTAATGCGTTGACGGAATGCAACGCAACCTTATCCTAGTTAGAATTTTAGCCACCAAACTTTGTCACCAAAGTTCATAATTGTTAAACATACATACAATTTAGACATCTTTTTAGAAGTCAGTTAATTTAATATGAAATATTATACTGAAAATTCAATTTCTGAATTTTTTTACCCACTACACGCTACCCCAAATAATTAATGCTACCTCATTAATTTATTATTATCATCTAAATTGTATAAATATTCAGTATATAATTACATCAGTTCGACGGATCGTTAGCCGTGTAGGTCGGTTGGTCGTTGTTGCTGTTGTCACCTCTCGTAGTTTATTGGTCAGAACATTGGTGCGTAAAGCCAAAGGTCCCGGTTTCGATTCCCGGCGGGGGTGTGACAACAGCAACAATTTTTCCCTCATTAATTTGAGGTAGCGTGTAATGGGTATAAAAATTCAGAAATTTAAAACGGACAAATCCAGTTCATTTAGTTTGATTTTGCTTGAAATTTGTTATTTTATAGAAATTTGATGAAGATTGATTGAGCCATTTTGAGGATATTTAAACACTTAATAGACTAAATTATTAAGTAAATAAGATATTAATATAGAGGTAACATTTTAGAAAAGAACTGAAAAATCAAGTTGTCCTGATTTTAAGAGGTAATAATAATCCATCAGGATGTTTTTATGGCATTGCCTTAATGATAGGTTATGTGTACATCGGAAAATACTTAATTATACCATTTTTGTAGTTTAGATACGAACTGTAAATACTTCATGTTAAATGATTTATTATATCTGACGCTAAATTTTGCTTGTATGGATGAAGAAATCATTACTGTTCCCTATTGGAGTGTGTGAATTTTTATTTTTTTTTGTTAAATCGCTTAAATGAAAGCATAGAATCAAAATAACTCAAAATTAGTGTCACTGACCATCATCAAAATCTATTAAGCACCTCTGGTAGAACTAGAACAACGTATTTTACAATTATTTATTTTCAATTAATCTTCGATATCCTGACCGTTAAATTTCAAACTAAATAATTCAAACAGAACTATTTCTATGTTTGTTAATTTCAGTATGGTTAAATAAACTGAAACGTCGCACAAAAAACATTAGTTTACAATTTTCGACGGCCACCCTGGAAAAACCCTTGAGTTTATTATTTCTTTTGTCAATCCTGTGGTGTCGAGAAATTCTTAGTAGAAAATTTTAACATCAAAAATGTAATCTGTATGATTAAAGTAAAAACGGTACCTAGTTGACTTCAAAATTCACAAAATTAACATTTGCATTGAAAACATTTTGTTATCAAGTAGGTACAGGCCTGACGCTGGAAGCTGGCGGAAATTTTAAAAATGGCGTCGATGCGCGGTGGCAAAAGTAGGCAGTTTTAGGTATAGCGATTGCAGCCCTCTTTCTTCAGTATTTCCTATCAGGGGCGTATATTAAATATTTAAAAGCAGAGATCAGTGAGTAAGTAATAGACATACAAACAAAAGAACTAATTGTTGATGTTGGTGACAGTGATAAGTAGAGATTCTGATGGTGACAGTGAATGTGAAAACTAACTAGAAAACAAAAGCAATAGGTTTATTTTTATTTTTTGATAAGTTATGTTTGTTCATTATTTCCTGGTATACTACTGTCCTATTTGTATTAATGCAATAATTTACGCCTACTGAATGCTTATTTGTAAATCGGTTTCGAGTAACTTACCCAAATAAGTAGTGTCCGACCGAAAGTTCAGTTTCGGTTTCGGTTTCGGTCGAGTTTCGGCAAAACAACGAGTTTCGGTTTCGGCGGCAAACCTGCCGAAACTACGACCGAAACCGAAACTGCGTTCGGGAGTTCTCGCCCTCTGCTCGGTCATGTTCGGAGCGTTAAATTCCATCCAAGCGAAGTAGATTAGTAGACATTTCGCCATAACATAACTATGAATACTAATAAGAAATAACGATTACAGGTACCTACTTGAAATTATTAGTAGTCGTCGCCTTTTGCAATATTATGATCACGATTAGTTTATAATTTAGTCGTTTACCTTTTGTTTCTGTTGAAGTTTAGTGTCATTCAACATGACGAATTAAGTTTAGAAGAAGTTAATTTGTTCTTAATTAAGATAAAAGTGATTTATTTTGTTTTGTTTATTACTTAAATATTAAGTTCCTATACCTATTGTGATATTAGGTAACAATAACAAAAGTAATTTTATGTTTAATATTATATAAAAAAAAGCATGAATAATCTTCAAAAGAAAAATGAGTCTAGTCTACTATACTTACTCAAATAAACATCTCACCTATTTTAAGTATTTTTAAGGCGCAATTAAAGTATTTCCTTAAATGAGGGGTTGTTATGTTGATTTTGATTTGATTATCAATAAGTGAAAATGTCAAAGACTGCAGAGCTATGTGATTTAAAGATAAAAAAATAAAACTGACTGATTATAATAACGTTTTCTTTATTTTTCTCTCAAAACATGATCCTTATAAGGAAGTTTCGGTTTCGGTTTCGGCCGAAACTAAGACCGTTGCCGAAATTCGGTTTCGGTTTCGGTCGTAAAAACCAGTTTCGGTCGGACACTACAAATAAGTCATAAATGGACAATTACTTGCGCGACCGCTCGCCAGCTTCCTTCGTCCGACCTGTATTACTTTTTTCAATACTTTTTTTGATTTAATAATCTTAAATGTGCGACTATCTGCTTTATTACTCCTGATCCCTTCGACTTTCTCGGCCATACGTGAAAACCTATTCGCTGATACCGCAAGTACTAAATGTAAACACCGAAAAAGAGTCTTTATCTTGTTATTGCTTGTTATTTCCAATTTTATGGTGACGGAAATGTCACGTAGATACAGTCATAAAGTCCATGTAGCACTTTCAACAGATGTTCCCTTATTATAGGTAGGAATACCTCAATTTAAACGTATTCATCATGACTTGAAAGGTTACGCAAATAAGCTTGAAACCGTTTTTTTTTTATGTGAGCTCTTATATTTTTCGTTATAAAATGAGAACCAAGTTCGAAATTTCAAAACAAGTCAGAAAAATTTTCATACGTGCCACTTCTGACACGTATGCCATATGTTCGCACCATTCACAATGGCGTAAAAAAGATCTTATGACACTAACTCAGGAAAATGTTTGAAAATCACAAAGGGTCTCGCCGGGTTTCCATATGAAATCTGCACTGGCGTTTTTTTTGACATTGATGCCTTTAATATATTACTAGTCGTTGAAAATAATTTTTGCCCAATTATCAAACCTCTAACTTTGTTAGTTTTTGGAAAATGGGGGTTGCAACCCGTAACATCAAAATTATTTTTCTACGAAACTATGATAGCTATTCGAATGAAACCAACGCGACATGAAAGCTCTTAATTAGCTTTACATTATATATTTTTTTTATAATTTTCCAAATAACTATAAGACTGCAAAAAAATATATTGACAAAATAAGANACCGAAAAAAATTATTTCGATTTCCTTACGAGCGCGATAAATTCCTAATAGGCGTCAGTCCGGGCGTCTGAGGTAGAGAATATATCACCCATCTTACTGATGAGTCTAGGCATTCTCTCTGGAATCTTCTATCTCTGTAGAGCTGTACTCATTCGCTAAAGTATTCTAGTACCAATAACTGTCTAAAATGAAAACTAAAGGTCTAGTTTATTTCAAAGTGACTAATTGTCTACTTTAATAAAGACAAAAATTCAGTTTCGATGTAATGTCAGCTAAATAAAATGCAGAATAGGTTAATTTTACTGTTACGCTTGGTATAATGACGTGAGAAGAGGTTTTTCTTTCTGCTAATGCACCATATTATTCGTTTTGCAGCCCATCTCAAGA